CAGCAGGAAATCCCCTAATGCACCTAACTTAGACTCAATTCTAACCAATTGTACATTTTCATCCGGTCCAAGATCATGCGAATCGAGGATCATCACCCTAACGCAATCCGCCATTTAATTAAAAACCATCAGACATGCAAACACACGTCCTACCTTTATTCCACGTGAAACATTCCTAAAATTTCACATTCACGATTGTCAGAGCATATATAGAGAGAAGATTACGCCTGTCAGAGATTTTCGAGCCATGACAGGATCCCGTTCCCCCATAGACTCCCTCTGCTGTGTTCCCCTGCATCCCCAATTGCGCGTGGCTCCCCAGTTTCCCCGAAGCGTTTCTCGATGCTCCTGATCACACGTTTTAAGCGAACGAACGATCACGCGATCCCCACGAAAGTTAGCCTAGTCGCTTGTTCCACGAAGGGCAAACCGGCCACCGAGTTAATAGATTAATCGTTGAAAACGAGCACCCTCGCTCGACCACTGGCTCCAGAGGTTCCGTTGATCTAGACCTTCGAAGGACGTGGCTAATTTCCTGTTCCCGGAACGTTCAGCCTCGTTTACATCGCGACCGAGGACTCTCTGTTAGCTTTGTTGGCTTAGGACCTACTCGAAGATTTGGCTGTGTAGCAAATGAAAAGCACACGAGTCAATTGTGAGCACAGTCCAGTTTGTGTTCTACTGTCTGCAGTCTGATGAGTAGAACTGAGATAGGGTTGGTCTGAGGAATAGTTTAGGGGTGTGGCATAGCTGTGATCAGACTAGTCTGGTGGTTCTGAGCAGCTCAGAATACCATAGGCAGCTCAGAATACCATAGGCAGCTCAGAATACCATAGGCAACTCAGATATCAGTCAGAATATAGCTAGGAGTTCATAGTCAACTATTATGCTCATATTTGGTGTTGGAAAAACTTGTAGAGGCTAGATCTGGCCGTGTTTTGATGTTATATGGGATAATATATCAGTAGACTATGGAAGAGGTAGATTTAGTACATTAGCAGATGGAGTCTTGGACTTTGATATGCTCACTGATCCATGTTTGGAATTTTTCTTGACCGAAGTTAGGGATGAAGATAAATCCTTAGGTATAAGGTAAGACCTATTTAACGCAATTTTAAATCCATTTCTGCAAATACGCTATTTTTGTTGTATTTATGGTCTATACTCTTTGATTTCTAACCAGAAGCTGAACCATTTAAACCTTTAGGTGTTCTTTAGATTGACAGATCTGATTAGTGAGTCATTTATTGTGATCGTAGCTTGTTTCTATTATCATTTCCTGATACTCTAAGTATGTTCTTCCTTGAAAGGGATGTTATACCTAACCTTGTAATTATGGTAAAAGCCTCTCTGACTTTGGTATAGTTTTTCTTTGTTCTACTTTGGAACTTGGGCCTTTTTTTCTTTTGGCAACGAAGTATCGGTGAGTCGAAGCTTCAGACCAATGTCATCCACTTTGAGAGATGTGCAAACGCTAATAATAGACCTAGATTCGATCTAAAAATAGCCTATAGTCGTAATCGTGGCTTAAACCGTTGCTTCCTTTGAATAGATAGAGAAGGATTGTCAGTGGTGTTATTGTGGACGTGTTTCCTGCAAAAGAAGCATGCTGTTGCCATTTTATTCTCTGATAAGATGTGTTCGTTATTCAAATAGCAGTGACCAGTGATGAGTCCTTGTTACTAGACAGGTGCTGGGATTTCCCGTTATACATTCCTTTGCTGCATCGTGGTAATGACACCTTTGGATGAAACTGTGTTAGCATGATCAAATCCTAAAATATCCGTCTTTATCGATTATTAATTTTCCTTTTAGAAAAATCAGTGATACGTTATGCGATTTTGAAATGCTTCAAAAATCTGAGAAATTTCGAAACTTTCAACTTTTCAGTTTTCAAAATTCGAAAACTTTCAATTTAATTATCAGGAATGCAACTAATTATTAAAAATGCAACTAATTAATTAAAGAATGCAACTAATTATTAAAAATGCAACTAATTAATTAAAAATTCAACTAATTAATTAAAAAATGCAACTAATTATTAAAAAATGCAACTATTTATTGAAAAATGCATATTTTAAAATTATTATTAAATTTTTATTAATTAAATACCAGTAAGTCGTAAATGTAAGTGACAGCAAAAGATGACGTTTTTGCTATAGTTATTGGCGAAGATTTAACACTTGAGCGACATCGACTGAATTAAAACCCACGGTTTCTTTTCAACGGGCTTCTTTTTCGAATCACATTACACTGAATCGCGATGATAAAATGTTATTCGCAAGCGTAACAAATGATTGGTTTTGCTCCCGACGCAAAAGAGTGGTGCGCAAATGATTTATCCTGGTCGGTGTACCATAAATCAACAACCGTGACGTGCTCTATTATAATAGGAACGAAAGACTAATGATACGTAATTGAAACCGGATATCGCAAAAAATTAGCCTCTTCATCAGAAACACTATTATTACGTATTTTTCACTGTTTCTTTAGTTCTTACACCTTTGTAGCCTCATCTATACAAAATTATTCCTTATTATGGCCAAATTTTTTCACCCATTCACATCTCCAACTATCCACGGCAATTTATATCTCGGATAAAAATTTCCTCGTCGGAAGAAAATCGGAAATTGCTCGTGATTTACTCGACAGTCAATTTCATTTATTACTTAAACCCATTCCTACAAAACGTGGCGAACCACGCACATTTCAACGTCAAAATAACACCGAAATACTGATACCACGCTCTGCATAGTATTTCATATATATATATATTTATTCACCTTGCGGAACAGTAAGAAAATATTCTCGTCAAACAACGTTAACAACAATAACAACGATAACGAGAAAACAAAATACCAGGTATCACCCCGTTCTCCAAAGAGAAAAATAAAATATCACATTATGTAACTGCAAATCAGTGTATTTAAAAATAATAACTATACAGTAAGAAAATTACAAATGGTTCCTCGTGGGCGTTCACAACCAGTACGCGAAGTATCAACAAATGTACAAAACGCATGGTCGTCGCATCAACCATCACACAACGTTACGCAACAACTGTACAACAAACATCAAAAACACCCCTATCCCTCGATCATCAAAAAATCACATCCTGCACACCGAGATACCAACCTCTCTCGAAACAAAAAAATAAAAAAAAAAAATATTCCTCATCCAATGGAGAAGAGAAAGAGAAATTCCTCATCTCCACAGCCTCCTCGAAGAGACCTAACCCAACCCGAGACATCCTCGCGACCGAGTCATAACGAAAAAATTCTTCAGCCCCCGCTCTGGGGTTACCTTCGCGAAGACGAAACTCGAGAGGATCGAATGCAGGTCGAGTGGTAGTTGGCGTCTAACAAAATCGATCGGCCACAGCACGGATTCCTCGGTGTACCGGAAGTGGCGCAGCGTCCCGACTGGGCCCGCTACATCCGCCGCGCACACGCGGGACCGCAATTACGCGATCATTTTCCCCGGTCAACAGCCTTGTAAATCTTCCGCCCGGTTCCCCGTGGAGGACGCCGCCGCTCTATCGCCTCGGGAAAAGGGGAGAAAAAGACGCCGGGAGGATAATTTCTTCGGCAAATGGCGCTGTAAATTCCGGCCGGCGAGCCGCAGCGCCGTTCCTCACCGAACGGTTCTCCGGTCCGACCCAGGAAGTCGCACGTTATCCCCGTCAATGAACTACCAACGACTCTGCTCGTTCTGTATACTCATGCTTAATGTCCGCCGTGTTAATGAGTCCGTTGACGAGCCCAGGTCGGACTGGGACCGGCGACGGTCGCTCGGACCCGTCGCGGATCTTGGCCCAGGATGCTCGATGGGACTGCGGCTGTCACTTGTATCACGAGCTCATTGTTAGGTGCATTGGTCAGAATAAAAGGGTCTTTCGAGATGGTCCTGAATCATTTGGGATTTGGTCTCCGGGAAGTTTAGATTGGCTGGGATTTGTGAGATTTTTGAAATTTTTGAGGTTAGGATTCGCAGAGTTAGTTGATTTAAAGAGAGACTCGTTTGACTATTTTGTTTTCTACTGTGCAGGATTGCGTTGTGCATTTTTGTGGATTATCTGGTGACAGGTTTGGCTCTTGTTCGAGTAGCTTCGAATAATTTCTGGGGCGCATGTGTAGGATTAAGCTTTTATTAACTTCCTGTTTGAAGCTTTTCTAAAAGGATATGATTTCTGTTTCTGGTGATTTGGAAAATAGTATTGTCCTATAGCTTCTCTCAGTGGAACATAATTACCCCTTCATGGGGAACATCATGGTTTCTTAAATATTTCATATCAAGATACGAGATTAGATTAACCTGAATATTTTTGGCTTTTTGTATGTCAATGGACCAAACTTCTTTTTGGTAAATACAGCGATAATTTGAATTTCCTACTGTCAAGATAATTGAAAAAATAATTATCATTTCGGGATAAATTCAAGATCCACGGAAGATCCGATGATTATATGAAAATATATAGGAAACCACGACTAGTAGTTGCTCTCTAGAAGCAAACAAGTATTTATACCTACCTCTTTCCGATACAAAAATTCGAAACACTCGGGATCCTTCGCGACTCCAGCATCCCATGAATTTTCGAATACGAATTACTCTGAACTTTAAAAACAATTCTTGGCGTAATGCAATACAAGTGATCACTCAATCCTGTCGAGCAACGTGATCCTTCAGCACCGGAAGTTGCGATACACATCGAACCATAATTATCCCATCGTCACTCGTCGTACACGATCCCTGTATTCCTAAACACACGATGTCTCGTCCAGCTTAAAAGATTCACGATCAGCAGACAGTGTTATAGATCCCCTCTTCCTCTTCGCCATTCAGGTCGGAGACTTCGGACTGTGACAAGGCCAGCTTCACGTAACCCCTGTCCTTCTCTCTGGTCCCGTTCTTGCCACCAGGTGGCGGAGGTGGAGGCTTCTCTTCCGGAGAGCTAGCGTTCGTAGGTTCACAGATCTCCGCATAAATCTCTTCTGTCTTCGATGGAGGAGTGGATGGTAGCGGGGTTAAACTATCCCTGACCTTGGAGTACGGTGGGTCCAGGTCCTGTTGCGTCTGCACCTCCAGCACGCTGGTGGAGACCGATCGTTGAACCTGCTGTCTCGACGAGGGCGATGCCTGCAGTAGATTCGTCTCTGACTCGAGGCTAGCGTATCTCTCGGACCTCATGCCGATTTCCGGTCGAACAGCGAACGTGAAAGAGGCCGACTTCTTCGCTGGGTTCCTGCTTCTGCCACCCTGAGCTATCCTCGAGATCCGGTCGAGGAAGCTATGGTTGTTGCTGCTCGCCCGACTATTGCTGCGATCCCTGATAGTCGTTCGTTTGATGTGCTCCAACCCTTCCTTCAAGCTCTGAAGGATCGGCTTCGCTTCTGGCTTCGATTTGATCTCCTTCAGATGCAGTTCCTTCAATTGGCCGCCACTGGGGGGCGGCTTTGGGGGCGCCACGCGTGGTTCCGTTGCTCTCTGGTCCAGTGCTCTCCTGCAATTTTAGCGAAACCACACGATGTACGAGTGCTTGGATGAGGTTAGGTGTTAGGAACAATTAGTTGTTCCTAATTGCAAACTGCATTTGAAATGTAACTGCAGAAAATTCACAATTCTAGGATCCCACATAGGACTATGTATGTATGTACTTAAGACTATCCTTGCATTTTACAATTTTATAATTTTGCATCTTTGTGATCATTTTGTGATCATTAGTCAAAGCCAATTCACGAATTCTCGTATCTCATATTTTTCGGATAGTTTATGCCTGCTTGCTCTAGACTCTTGCAGCAGACCTATGTTATTTGCAAGTATTTCATTTCTATTTGTCTAATTATTTCTTCTCTTATTTATTAGAAAGAGAAGGATATTTGTCAGCCACTTTGCATCTTCTTTGTTTAAGATAAATGATAATTTTGGTACGGTAAGATTTATCATAACGGTACTATAATTACAAGTAGACCATTTAATTTCTTTGCAGAGGAAATTCTAAAGATTGTTATAAATTCCTCCTTGTACGATATTACTCAGGTCTTTACCTGCAGGCTGAAAGTAATCGCTGCATCTTGGGTGACGCCAGCAACCTCGCCTCGGAGGGACAACCCAGTCGCGCCCTCTTCACTCGCGGCGCCGTTGGTCCTGTGGCCACGAGTTCCAGGAGTTCTGGGACAGTGGAATTTGGTAAAGGCCTCTCTGGCATCAGAGGTACCGCGCATCCTAATACTATGGGACCCCTTGTCGCACCTTCCAGTTGCATCAGGCCGCTGTAATCTCGTGGCAGTGGTATCGGTAAAGGTCCGGCGACCAGGCGTACCTGTTCATAGCAATTTGCGTGCTGGTTGATTATTGCAAAGAGGATATTAATCGATCTTTTAGACGTAGAATACGTATGGTATTCCTCACCTAAATGCCAAATTATTCATTATCGTTAGAACTTGCCAAAAAATACATAAATATTCGTTGGGTCCTATCTTAAACCCAAACTATGTCCACCACATGATACAACAGAAAAGTTATTACAAGAATTGTCACGAGAACTACCTCAATTCTTTCGATACGATTAACCACTTCCCGTGCCATTTAGCTGGACGAGCTAAAACTACTCGGGCCCAAACGGTAGACGTCAATGCGCGGTATATAGTCAGATATATATAGTCAGTTTTACGTGATACTATTATTGTGGAAGTAAACTCTAATCCTTCTTCCTTTTATAAATATTGTAAATATATTATATTTTATAACAGATGACAGTTTCGTAACTATATTTAGAAAAATATTCTCTTCACGTGTCTGGCTCGTGATATTCATCTTCGACCCAATATCTTCATCACGAGTCATACTCGTCAGAATACGGGAAGAGGTTAACCCTTTGCACTCGAGAGATGCCTTTCAGTCACCATTTGATAAAATTTCGAAGATCTATATAGTTCGACCCAATATCTTCATCACGAGTCATACTCGTCGGAATACGGGAAGAGGTTAACCCTTTGCACTCGAGAGATGCCTTTCAGTCACCATTTAATAAAATTTCGAAGATCTATATCAATTAATACGTCAAATTTGAAATAACGTAACAGTGTGCGAGGTATCGAAATTAAATACGTGTTACGTGTTAATTATTAAACAATTTCTTATTTATTGCTTAAAATAATATCGTTAGCTTTGTAGCAGAAAATTGTTGAACTCCTACTCTTCTTTAGTCCAAAAATGGTCGAGTGCGAAGGGTTAATATCAACTTTCGTTCACCATTTAACACCTTCGATCATTGTATAGTATATATCGTCTATATTCTATGCTACATTGTGACACACACTGCAGGGGTGCAGTTTTGACCTTAAAAATTGTCGCGTAACGAATATAACAAATAATAATATTATAGACGTAACTTGACCTATTGACCTATTCGAAAGAGGAAATTCTATGCAGAAACGCATTGATGGAAACTCACCCTGAGAGGTAGGTCCCTTCTGGCAAGCTGGTGGACCCTGTAGAGCACGGCGTCGCTTCCGGTGTCGAGGCTGCCGCTCTGGCAAGTGGCGTAGAACTCTCCTCTAGCGGAAAGCGGCGCGAACAGCTCGTGTCCGTGAGAATCTAGGCACTGCGCGTACTGATCTCGTTCCGACGACCTTGAACTCTTGCCCTCCGGGACGCCGCTAACGACGCCGGAAATACCGCTGGAAACCGGTGCCCTCCTAGTGTCTTGGAAAACCGCGGCCAGTCGCAGAACTTCCCCGGCGCGAACTGTCGTTTTTGTATAGTGAGCCCTCAGGTTACCGTTCTCTGAAACGGAAATCATCGGTTTCCTCTGAATCGTCATTACATTCAAGCCGGTGATTACGACAAGCTGTTTAGACGGCGGGTATTCGTCTCTCTGTGACGAAGTTACAGATAAGTTCAATCTGTTAGGCTGCAAAATTTTTCTATTCAGAATTTTCGTATTCGGTGACTCAGAATTTTGTTGAAATTTAATTTTTATTATATTTTCTTTCTAAATGAACATTTCACGGAGAATTATTGTAGTCGAGGCAACTGAGCTTGGGAATGTTACACGTATCTCTTTGCGAAGGAAATTTAACGAAGGGAATTTAACAAGTCGAATCGTGGATTAGTCGTTGGATTTTGGTTTTGGCGAATATTGGATAATACCTTTGAACATGGGAAAGTACAGTATTCTTCGCGTAATGAAATATTCGGGTAATAATGTGTTAAGGTAATAGAGGTTCTACCGTATCGTGCAATTTAGCCTTTAACGCGTCGTCCTAGTAATTTTCAACTAGAAATCACTAGCCTCTAACATTTTTAGAAATCGGTTTAATTGCAAAACGATCGGCTTATGCAACCTTTCTGTGATATATTTCCATGTATTTTATGTAATATTCGTTATTATATAATTGTATTCTATATCAACGGGTTACGGTAGCATGGCAATAATGGCGCACGGTAATAAATCATCTCCAATCAGCGTGTAATGATAGATTTCTATCATTGTTATTATACGACCCAATAGTGCACGTGTGTATTTACCTTACTGCGTGCTTCATATTCTAGCCTCAGAAACGTCAGAAATTCCAACACATATCTCAGTCCTAAGTGTGCAACAAAGTAGCTTCCATCTCATTTCCAATTACCTAACTTAGCTACCCACGCTATCATTAACCAACCAGCTTCCACCTAGCTTCTTGCATTCGTTCTATCCACCCAGTCTATTCCATTACTCAGCCTAATGAATCTCCTCCTAGACCAAGAAACTTGGCCGGTAACAATATTAAACGCGCCAGTTTCATTTCAATTCCAGTCGTTTTACAGCATTAGAGGCTTCATTACCACCTAAACAGCGTATTCGGAGGTTCAGCTGGAACTAGGAATAATTTTGTTTTTATAATCTCAGATTATATATGGCTGGACGATCAAGTTGGCATTGGCAAGAAGTATTAATAGTAGGTCATTGAATTTCTCATGGAACGCGAAAGAAAGCTGGTAATCATCTTTTCTTGTCCCTTCCGAGTACACGTGTACGCGTATTTTTCTATGGGAACTTTTTAATGGTAAAAAATGCAAAAAGATCGCAAGACAATTTCGATTTTTATGACTTCTTCGGCGAACTCGTTTTGAAGATTCCATCCCACGAAGCTGGACGTACGATCTCATACATAAGTATTAGGTCATCTGCTAGCCACGTATAAAATATAGTAATTAGCCTAGATTATAGGGGAAACCATCGAGTTATTAGCATTTTCTAATCGTGCAAAAATTTTTAAACACTGTTTACAAAAACTGTATTAATGATTATTTTGGCTCCGTAACTTGAGATTTAAAGCCCATTAAAAAAATTGGCTGCAAATTAAATTTAAAATGCCCGGAAGTGTGGGCTTTTAGCTGACTTGCGAAATCAATTGCAATTTGCATATAATTAAATAAACGTATTTAATTTCATTTTACAGAATTAAATTTTTATTGTAAAATAGTCCATACGTATGTGTTACTTTTATTCCAAATTTCCAAATAGGACAATAATTTTTAATTTCCTCAGCATACACTTTTTAATATTTTGATATTTAAAAAGAGGGTAAAATATACAAATTTTTTAATTATTAAAGTTAGAAGCTTTTATGTGGAAAGTGTCACATAAATTTAATTTAATGGCTGAAATTTTATACACACTTCTTTCCAAAATGATAAAGTGATTTTTTAAATTGGTAAAATAAATATCTAACAAATTATTTGATCCATTTAAGTAAATCTTCTTTTAAATTCTAGGACATGTTTTTCAAGGGATAGTGAATCTTCCCAAATTAAAAAGAAAATGAGTAGAAGAATTATATTTAACTTCAACCAATCAAAAACTCATCCAAAATTTCTTCTTTCTTTTTTTAAATCTCCTGTCTTAAAAATTTCAATTTTTCAATTTAACAACATACTAATATAATTTCTTTTATTTTAGGATCTGAATTTCATCTACAAACTACATGTCCTGCTATCCAAAGGAAATTTAAAAATGTAGATTCTCAATATTCGAAGGGGTACAACAAATTTCACAACTTTGGACAGATTCGAAGAACCCTCAGGTAATTCGGTGAGTCTGAAAAAAGGAATTATTTCCATAATTTCTCGATAACCTTTCGAGTCTAGATCGATGCGAAGTGTCACAGTGCTCATAAGCAGGGGTATAGATTCATCTCGGGGATAGGACTGAAAGAGGCGCGCGATCTCGACGCGGAGTATCGCAAGAGAGGTCGCGAGAAGGAGAGAACTGCCCATAGAAATCGCGTTTCGCGCGCGCGACCATAATCGTTATGGTGCATAATGGCACGAGGGCCGTGCGTATCGTAAGAACCCCAGCGGCTTTCACCGGGCCGCGTGCCTATTACGTTACGTGCCCCTCGCCTACGTTTAAACGCACGAACAGCCGCGCGCCGGCCAGTCGCATTAACAGACACATTGACATTCGTGTCACGGCCAGTCGCTGCACCCAAGGGAATAATCCGTCGCGCGGCCCGTGCGTGAGTGCACGCGCCGCGTTTGTGTGCACGCACCGGGCCCCGATGCATTGTCACGTCCTAGACGATAGCGACAATCCTGACTTCGACACGGTTTCACGCTCGTACCTGTGTCGGAGACAGTGGGCTCCTCGCGTGGATCCATGTCCCGGGACCGTGTTCCGCGTTGGACAGCACTGATTGCTGCAAAGGAGCCGTGTGTCGGGAATTTTATTCACCCCTCGGGTTCCACTGTCGCGTATACGAGACGAAAAAACGGTGTAAGATGCAGGACAGACAAAATTTGTATAGTAATTGGGGTAAAATCACACAGATGACGATTCTACGTGTAAAAATAAGGGGGGAAGAAAGAATAAAATTTTTTCGTTCGAGGATTTATTTTGGAGATAATCGGGATTGAAGATTCGTGGAGTGTGCATCCTTTTATTCGAGTTCTCGGGTTTTCGACACCGTGAATTCTACTGTAAACAGAGTTTGTTTATGTTTGTAAACATCTGTGGCACTTTTTGATGTGACATAGTAAGTAGGCGCAATGTTAAAATAACACAAAATATAGTCAAAATTAAAATTCGATGTATACACACCCCGCGAATGTTCAAATTTAATTTTCTCGAGAATGGGACCTCGTACGAAAAAATTGTATCTTTCCTTTTTTACTTATTTTTATACGTAGAATCATCCCTTCTACTTTATTTTAACCTTCACGATTCCAAATTTTTTTTTATTCAATCTATCGACGAGACAAACGTATCTTTGAAACTAAACAGTTAAATTTTGGGAATTTAGAACTCAAATACTCTCCTATACACGTACATCTGGTACCATACATCTGGTATCATAGAGGCCATCTGGTAGCGGGTATTTTCTAATTTTCTGTCTAGCCCACGATAAAAAGATAATTGAAAAATAAAGCGTGCACAATCCCATGCGACAGCTTTATTAGTCGTGTTTTAGGTTCTAAACCTACGAGCTCTATCCGCCATTAAAATAATCATCCGACAGTGAAACCTTCTTCCCAGTGCACGCTACCATTAATTCTCTACGACATGGGCTTTTCGTTTTCCTTTTAGCAAACGAAAGTGCAGAAAATAATGACTTCATAAACTAGTCGTTTTCTCATAAATTTCCCAGCTGCTTTCCTTCATCCGCGGTACCGCTACGTCGTAGGTTAAGGTCGTATATTCAGAGTTAAACAAAAGGCCCATAATATTTTTCCTCGTTGATGCGACAAACGAAGGACGTTAATTAATGAAGCAGCCGGTTCGTTTCAAGCAACGGGTAACACACATACCATAAGCGACTACCGGATAACGCGCATTCGTTTTCACTGAGAACATAGGAAACTGTACGCGTGATCATCGCATTGAAAACTCCTATAATGTCACAAACGAGCAACTATTACAAACGCGCGTTATAACGGTTCATTATGCTACATTATCATGTATTCATGTCGTAGCGCTTCACGTGTACAGTTGCTTTTTTAGCCACGTTAGGATCGTAACGAGCGAAGAAATGAAACGTTTCCTGGTGCAGCGTGCAATTACGAGTCATTTACACGGTAACTGTACAGCTGGATCAAATGTTATCAAAACTTACCCATTTTGGAGTGTGTCAGCGTGTAAGCTCGCAGAGGTTTGGCAAGCAAAAATGCTGGAACACCGGCGCGAACCAGCGCCCCCACTCGTCGATACACCCTGGCACTTCCGGTACCACTGTTGTTCGAGACAACAGAGAACCAGCCTGCAACGAACAAAAATATTTCCCATCAAAATATCTGCTTTCTTATTTCATTTCATTTCATTACATTTGTCACCAATTTTTCCCCTTCCTTTTCAAAATATTATAGTTAATATCTGAACGCGTGCACAGTGGATGACTCATATTCGAGTATTCGTATCTTTTTATTATAATTCAGATCATACACGAGGTTTCAAATTCGTCACAAGTCGATTTCGTAAAAATCTATTAAATGCGATAAATATTTAAATTCTTCTGTTTAAGAAGCAACGACATGTTACATTCTATAGAAATGCAGAGGATTGGACTAGCAAGAACACACTTATGGTATCAAACCAGACACGATCCTAACATCCAAGGACCATACGAGGCACATCTTGTAATTCATCAAAGATAACAGTATAAAGGAACAAACACAGAAAATAGATACAGATGAAGAAGAAAATATCGCGGATATTCAATAAATCCTACGAGTCGTCACGAACGAGTGAATACACTAAACCGAATTAATAGTTGTGCATATACATCAACTTTACCGTTCGACAAATATTGCATCCTCCTCGAACACAATTAAAGGTATCCACACCGATTGCCAAATAAAATATTACTCAAACTGACCGCGAGAACGTGAGCGCGACTAACACGCAAAGACAACACCAGGGAATTAAGCAACTACGCGCAAGACCCACACTGGACGCGAGTTTGCACAATATCGTGCAATACTGCACCTACTCTAACCCCGACTCTTCGGTAGGAAAGCGCGGGAAATCGGCGCAGTCGCATAATCCGAATTACCGTAATATTCGCGCGAGCAGTCCTCGCGCACCCTACTAGACAATAACAGTCTATGGCTGGCCGAATCCGGCGATCGATGCGTCACTGAGCGCCGAGGTTGCCGGAATCCGCCGCGAGAGGCGCGGCCGTCGCATTCGGCTGGCACAGTAATTTTCGCTTTCTCGCGCAAGGAAGGACACGCAAGCGATGGCATCTGTGTCAGGCCTGGTGCACCGTCGTTCCAGCGCTCGTTTTGTCGAGCAAGCGGTTCGTTAACGCGTTCGCGCTGTTCATTCTGAAACGAACGTGACGAACGTTACCGTTGCGCCGTGGAAACCCGCTCTGTTCCAGTTCCCGATGAAAAACCAGCCTTTCATAAACTCACGTCCGAGCCACTGGCGTTAAAGTAATCCCCTATCGACGGCTAATAACATTTTGCGAAATCACAATGTCAATTCGACCCAGTTCGTTGAGATCATCGAGCGGCGCGATATGAACGAGGAAATGAGTAACGACGTTTATGGGCTTGGTTAACGAGATCCTGAAAGCGCCTTTCCATAAGCGCAATTTAAAGATACCATGCGGTACCAGCGGATTTATACAGCAGATGCTTTATCTTTACTTTTATCCGCTCATGCAAATAACTAGAAAAGTATACTGGACATGGGAGTTTCAGTAGAGTATCATAATGCAATATGGATGTTTGCTCAGGGGAAAAGTTGAGGTTAGGTAAGAGGCACTAATGTTTTTCGAATGGCGTATTGCATATTCTGTGGTACAGAATGATAAAGAAATAAGCAGGTTTGGTATATTTGATACAATTTGGTACAAATTTTATAAAGAAATTTTAACGAATATTAAACAAAGGTTATGATACTAATGAAATTTTGTGAACATTTATATGTTCGTTTAATTTATGTTGAATATACTATATCAATAGTTGTTCGTAAGCCTTAAAAAGATTTCTCAGTGGGGTGTGAACGTTTACTTAGTGGAGAAGTGAGGTTAGGTAAGAGGCACTAATGTTTTTCGAATGGCGTATTGCATATTCTGTAGTATAGAATAATAAAGAAATAAGCAGGTTTGGAATATTTGATACAATTTGGTACAAATTTTATAAAGAAATTTTAACGAATATTAAACAAAGGTTATGATACTAATGAAATTTTGTGAACATTTATATGTTCCTTTAATTTATGTTGAATATACTATACCAATAATTATTCGTAAGCCTTAAAAAGATTTCTCAGTGGGGTGTGAACGTTTATTTAGTGGAGAAGTGAGGTTAGGTAAGAGGCACTAATGTTTTTCGAATGACGTATTGCATATTCTATGGTGCAGAATGATAAAGAAATAAGCAGGTTTGGAATATTCGATAAAATCCGGTAAAGATTTTATAAAGATTGTGAGTTATGGTTATTGAGGTTAGGTTTCTGAAAATCGTACATTGTATATACTATCTTTGAAATGATAAGGAAACGAGAGTATTTAGAATATTAATAATATATCAAGTATATAAAGTATAGCATACTATACTTATGAAGTATATCATACTAATGAAATTTTGTATATATTAATCTGCTAATTAACTGCACCTTCGTAAGTTTTAAGAGCATTCTTCACCGTTTTCACGAGAAATAACGATGTGTCAAAAATATATACTATTTAATCGATCGTTCGTCATCTTCTCGATCATTCATCGAGATTCCATATTTCTTCGCCTACTAAAATCGATCGTCCGCGGATAGTTAAGCGAATAGTTGTACGATAGAACGGGGAACATGGAAAAATCGTGGTCCCAGGGTTAAATTAATAATTTATCGACGATTTGCAGAATATACGCGCGATTCTTCTGATAATTTATAGCCGAATGTAAAAACATCCGCCGGTTGTTCCAACTTCACGTACAATGGGGGCGTATAAATCGCTGAATCGATTTGCAAGCGGTTTACATCGTATTTCCGCCATCTTGAATTGATTTACAGCTTGTACTAATGCGCGAGTTCCAATGATTGTTCCGTCCTTTCCGCGAAACGTCCTTTCCACGAATGTATTAACGTGGGTGTTTTATCGTCGATACAGCATGTCCGGTTTTATGAGCGACTCGGAATTTATCGTCGATCGACCTCGCCTGCCAGGCTAGATTAAATTACAATCTCGTTCCCCAAAGACAAAGAGGCTGCTCGACACTTAACTGCGCGTAATAAATTTCCTCGGGGACCTCTAATTACGCTCTTACGTTCCATCCAGACGAATTTCGATGTCGTTCGCCGATTATCTGTCCGGCAACCTATACCGCAATAAACGCTTTTACTGTCGTGCATAGCCGTTCGCGAAAATAAAATCCACTCGTCACGTGATACGCGGAGTAAATTTCGCGAGGGCTCCTTTTTATTTATCATTCACCGACGTGTGCAACGAAACGATAAAACCGAAGTTTCCTGAAGAACCCTGCCCAATTATTTCGTCACGTTGGGATACGCTAATTTTGAGGTTAGGTTAGATTAGGTTAGAGTCTCTTAACCCTTTGCACTCCAAAAGTGCTCTTCAGTCGCCATTTGATCAAATTTCGAAGCTCGATATTCATTAATATGTCAAATTTAATATAATGTAACAGTGTGCGAGGTATCGAAATCAAATAATTCTACGTGTTAGTTATTACATGAATCTTATTTACTGCTGAAAAAAAAAAAAATATCGTTAGTTTTACAGTAGAAAATCTTTGAACTCCTACTCTTCTTTGGCCAAAAAATCGTCGAGTGCAAAGGGTTAAATTTTCTTCAATGCGAGCGTTTTGAACAAAAATTTAAAAAAGCAGTGAATATTAATCGATTTTGGAAAATTTGATCAAATGTTACGCAAGTTTTAACGTGGATAGCATTTTTTAAACTTCTTTTAATAAATATTTAATATATATATATGTGTGAAATGGACAAGGTGATTATTTCTTAATTTCTTTTTTATCGAAGGTGTCTCAAGATGAATTTAATTAAATTTAAAAAATCTCTTTGGAATGAAAATTGTTTTACATTGGGGTTTGCAACTATTATTATATTAGTTGATGTTAGAAGACTGAAATATTATGGGAACATGTTACCAATCTATTTTCCACGAACTTAAATAAAAATTTTATAAATTAATAAGATGGTGTATGTAAATGTGTTCTTAATGATGTAGAGCAATCTCAGCAAGCAGTAACGAGTTCTAAAAAGTGCAATACACCTATATATTCGTTGCGTCACGAGTCAGGAAAGGATAAATAAAAAGGTGCAATAAATTAAGGAAATATGATAATTTTAATTTATCGAGATCGGATTGCAAAAGCGAACGCAATAGTAAGTTTCATGGGCGAAATAACGCAGCTAATGAGATTAATATATATAGAAATTATACACCGAAGCGTGTACTCTTAACAACCTTTTCCTATAATAAATAAAAAGCACAGATAAGTATTCCAAAAACAAGATCTCTGCTAACCAAAGTGTATTGTTAAAGACAGCTTTGAATTTTTATAACTGGATTATAGAAAATTAATTCTTTTAATTGCTTCGAATTATCAAAGCAGGATCTCGTTAAACTTGAATAAATCGGATAACCATCTTCAGATTATGTCTCATTAAATTCGATATTGTATTCGATACATATTCAAGTAAGAAGAGACTTTCGCATGATCTTGGATTTGCAGGTTATTCTACTTTTTCCAAATGCAATTAATATTTTGAAAAACATGAAAATTTGTAAAACAAATATTCTTCGAGATCCTTCATAATGATCCAAGATTAACAGGCCATTTAATTCTCGTCTCCAAATCTTTTCAACGCCATTAACAATTTTCCAAAAGTATTTTACAATCATCCCTTACACGTCTAAATATTTTTCCATGTTTTGGATTTAAATTTATGCACGTAACTACATTAACTGTCATAAGTATCATAAAAATGCCTTAAGATGATCTAGACTTTCCAAATTATTTTAATTATGTGTTTTAAAATTCCTTGATAGAATTAATAAAATTAATAAAAGTCCTCTGAAATCTTGTCAGAGTATCTAATTCTAACAGAGTTAGAATTTTGCTAGAATCTTTTGAAAACATGTAGTATGTGTTCAAACGGATCTACAGTGCTTTGAATCCAACACTAGCCGGAGCTAGTAGGTATTCGAGGTACTTCACGCCGTGACCCGTTACTCAAACACGATACATCCAGATAAGCAAAGAGCCTCGTACGATG